ATCAGTATTCCCATAACAGAGCAAACTGGGGTGTTGAACCACTGGCGAATATGTGGACTACTGCTCCGTTTTAAATTTTCCCATGTAGGAAAATAACAGTTTGGCTAGATTGGTCCTAATTGGCCATAAGGAATAACGATCAGTGAGACTTTCTTTCTCTTATTTTATCTTCCAGCAACATCAAAGGCAAACACTTCATCAGATATATTGCTGTACCTATTGGTAGACATTCCCCATGTGCTGTGGAAACCATCCATAAAATGATGTCACTTTGCTCTCCATTATCTACAGAGAAACCACAACGATCTTTTCAAAATTACATTCGACCACAGGATTTGCACTTCATTTAGAATACATTCGAGGGGCCTCGTCATGAACCCCCAGGCCTGCATGCCTTGCTGCTGCTTGCCCCTCAGAGGGTCCCTTTGCTCTCACTCACTGCTCTCTGGCCGTGCCATTTCTACGTCAGGGTGTTTGCTTACTGTCCCTCTTCACGGAACACGTCCCCTCCTGATCTCTGCTTGGCTGATTCTTTCTCATTGTTCGAGTTTCAGCTCAGACTTCCTTTCAACAAACAACTGTTCCCCAGTTCCCTAAGTTTGTCATCCTTTTATCCCCAACCACATTCCATTCTTATGTTTTATTTTGTGAAAGGGCTTTTTCAGCATTTGAAGTGATCTCATGTATTATGTTATTTTTTGTTTGTTTTCTGTTAAACTAGAATGAAACGAGGGACTCTTCCCATCCCCTTTGTCATGGTACCCCTATGGCCAAAATAGAACCCAGGATATATTAAGGTTCGAGAGTATTTGTTAGATGAAGGAATGAATGGATAGATTCCAGTTCTATGCCTGCCATGAAATATACGCCTCAGCTAAATGCCATAAGGCACACCAATATTTATTGAGTGGTCTGAATCTACATAAGTATGGGGAAGTGAGCATAAAATCAAAATTATAAAGTTTATTTTTATATTCCCTGGTATGCCTCTCGAGAACAGAGATTCTTTTGGGAAGCAGGCATAAAAACCAAGGGAAACCCAGAACTGTTTCGCAGGGAGACATTTCTGCCCATGCTCCGTCTCTCTGGAGGTCGCTTCTCCCTTTATGAGCTCCAGCTCTTCTGCTGGCCCCAGCAGGCTCTCACGGATTCTCAGCATTTTCATGGTGAACATCAGATCTTCACCAAATATCCCGTTTTACACCAATTTCCGGGCCCACTCGCCTGCCAAAAACAAACCATTTGGCGTCCCTCTTTAACATCAATCTCTACCCAAACAACAGCATCTGGTGATCTGGTCTCTCCTCCTGGCAGTGAACTCGTATTGTCTTAAGTCTCTGGGTTTCAAAAATAAATAACCCTTTCTCTAATGCCTGAAATGTCCCAGGTGTCCTATTATTGACTTCGCAGAACACAAATGGAAAAAGGTTATTACCAGACAGGAGTGTTTAAAATAAAAATCAAATCTAATACATGGACTCAGACACCTCGCATAAGGAATATAATATTTATAAAACCGAGTTGGAGACTGCAATCATTGCTCGAAAGTAAAGCATTAAATATTAATTCAGAACAAACCTGTCTGTGCTGCAGCAAGCCTCTCTTTCATTAAGGCGGCACCGCGGGTTTCTCCAGAATTAGTCCCTCCAAATAGGTAAATAGCTTGTAAGAACTGAGTGTTCTGCAAACTACAAAAAAAATCTAGGCACAATTTAGATTTACCTTTAGAATTACAGCATTACACACCTTTAATTGGGAACAATTAATCGGGATTCTTGTAGATTCTCTACATTTCTGCCCTTGGGTATCACTAGGAAAGTTTAATTCCCATCCTTCTTATTCGTCTTCATTTGATGAATCCAACTGTTGCCAGATCATTTGATTAACTCATGTCCAGCATCTTAAATATTAGGGAACTGCAGGTGCCAGTTATAAGTTGTACTTTAAAATTTTTCCATAGGATTTTTTTAAATTGCCAAAACTGTTTTATATTTTAAATTTTTTCTCCTAATTTTCTACTTCACATTAGTAATTTATTAATTATTATTACTATTGTTATTTTCTGTTTCTTACCTTGGAATATACTAAACAGCAAGAAAAATAAATGGCTAGTTATTTCTGCATTTACTGTTGAGATGAGGTTTTTATTTTGTCCAATTTACAGCATTCCTCTGAAACCCTAAAATAAATAACCTTGTAACCTCTGGGCCCTATTGATTTTTGAATGATTTCAAATAAAAAGCATCCAGTTTCCATTGCATTGACAAATTGCCCAGTCCCTGGGCAAAACCGATTGGGTTCCTATTAAATGGAGGGGACAGGAAACAACAAAAAAACCCAAAAAGGGCATCTGAAAGGAAGCAGGGAGAGGTGGGTGCCGCTCGGCGCGGTAAATGGGTATTTAACCTTTGACCAATGACGACAGGTCTCCTTTAGTTCTATTAGACCAAGAGCAAGCTGTTATGATTTAATAAAAAAGAAAAAAAAAACTGTTTAGAGCCTTACTGAGTATGTCCTGGGAATTAAAGCATATGGCAGGGATAAAGAAAAAAGATTTTCCTTATGCTAATGACCCATGATGTCTGAAATAAATTAGATCCATTAGAGTTATGCTCAATCAAAGAAAGACTTTAAGCACTCCAAAGTTAGTGACTCGAGACCAGTTTTTGCTCTGAAATTCAATCTGCCTACTTATTAATTCTTACTGAGACTCCAGAGCAGACAGGAGATGCAAAAATCATAATTCTGTACTGAACCAGAATTGTAAAGGACCACAGGATTATTTTCCTTTTCTTTCAATTAACCATTTTCCATGCTTCTCATTTTGTTTCACTCATTAATTTGATTTTGTTCCCTTTTTTGTTTTGTTTTGTTTTTTTTGTTTCTTTTCAAGGTTTCATTTATCCTATTTCAACTGAACAGAGAACCCAGAATGAATATGGATTTTCTTGTAAGTTTAATGTTTGGTTTTTATGTTGCTGAATAATCTTTTAACGTTACTGCCCCCAGTTCAAGTTTACCTTTTTTTAGATCACAGATGTGCACACAGGAAATAGGCGCCTAATATATTCTAACATGAAAAACAAATTAGATTTTCACCGCTGAAGAGAAGAAAGGGTCATTTCAAGTCTCAGCCAGCTTTAAAATCTATCAGCCTCCATTCAAAGCGTGGGTCCCGTAGCTAGCAAAACATATCACCAAAAAAAAAAAAAAAAAAAATGCTGATATAAATAAAAGGCTGGGTTCAAATGCTAAAAAGTAAAGGGTTGAGAAAAATGCAGATCTGTTGGGTTAGGAATCATGAATGTTGAATAAGTGATTACAGCCTGGTAAAATAAAACATGAAGGATGTCGGTGCAACATGCTGACCGGGGTTAGAATACGGGCAGCGGGGCCTCAGACAGGACCGACGGCAAAGCGAAGTCAGCGCTTTGAAAGCTGTGCTCACACAACCGAGAGTGTTCCGGATGTCGCTGGTTATCCGAAAAGATCTGTGAATCTTGACTTGATTGATAGGAAAGCAGATATTCTGGAAACTTGGAGACAAACAGTGGTTTAAAAAGGAAAAAAAAAAAAAAAGTAATAGTTCTTTCACACACAGTGCATTTAAGCAGAAAATTTCGAGAGAGAGATGTAGTGGTTTCCAGCAGAGAATTCCTTCACTCTGCCAAAGTGTCAAGCAGATCAGGACAGGCGAGTGCAGATGGTTCCCTGAGCCCTGGTAATGTGATTGCAGTCACTGCGCCAGGTAAAGCTTGTGGCTGAGAGAGAGTCTGGGGGAGCAGTGGTTCCCCAGCTCTTAGGTCATGGGACCTGCTGATCTGAATATTCACCTCCCACACACACAAATGCACCTATATAGAAAACTGAGCATAAAAAGGCTGGTGTTGAGCACCTGAAGTACCTGTTTAATCGCCTCTTTTACAGTGAGGCAAGAAGCTTCAGTTAACTTGGCTGAAAATTTTTGTGGGTCACTGAAAACCAAAGACAGGTGTAAAGAAGTCAGTGGAGGATTCAGGAAAGGTTTACTTTTGTTTGTTTTGTTTTATTTATCACCTTTTGCCATTGGATCAAAGCATGTTCTGTGCCACTAAGGCAACATGTAATATTTACAGGAATTTTCTCCTCTCTTTACCCAGAAACAGACCCCTCCCCCATCAGACTGCACATTGTGTTGGTCAAATGCTTCATTGCCTTCAGGGGTAGTCTGACCTTTGTGATCACTGGACCAGGCCTTTGTCTTACCCAGTACACCGTAGAGCTATATATTATTCCGGTAATGAGTAGCTCAAATGCAAATCTCTGACAAGAGACCGTGAGAAGCTCCGGGTTCTCAGAGATAACACCGAGTCCCTATGAAAGCCTGGAGTTACCAGTGTTAACCTCTGCTCCTCAGCTCTGGGTCCTCCAAAAGCACACCTTACACATCCAACATGTTTGCCCCTAATATTGACTTCGCTTAGTTACACCATTTCCACCCACCTCTTCAGTGATTTAGGGGTAAGTGAGAAGAGTATTATGGAAAATGATTTTATGACTTGGACGAACACTAGGAAAATATTCTGGTTCGATAAATATACAGATTCAGAACATGCCAGATATTTCTAGCAGGGTGTTTATGTTTATGTTTTTAAAGAACTATAAGTGAAGTCAAGGCCACCTTTCAAACTTTCCACCTGAAATTAGCAATAAGCTTTTTTTCTCCTGTGGTGTGGGATAGTTTTAGCCCCAGTTTCTTTTGATGCCTTATAAGAAATGATCTGTTATGCTGCCCAATGTAAGACAGATGAGTGGGTGGATAGATGCAGAGTGAGAAAGGAAAAGAAATCAGAGACAATTTTTCACTGAAAGGCCACTGTTGTTTTATATAGCTTTGGGGATAGATTTGAAATTAACCTATAAAAAAGGCAGTAAATGTCTGAAAAAATTATAGCGATACGTATGTCTACTGTGGGAAACGTCTCTAACCAGTTGGTCCAATGGTTCCTTCCCCCGTCCAGCTGCTCCTGATTCAGATGACATTGCTCTGTACGTTGGCATCGTGATAGCTGTGATTGTCTGCCTGGCCATTTCTGTAGTCGTGGCCCTCTTTGTGTATCGGAAGAATCACCGTGACTTTGAGTCTGATATCATTGACTCTTCGGCGCTCAATGGAGGCTTTCAGCCTGTGAACATCAAGGCCGCAAGGCAAGGTCAGTTGACACTGCGCTTCACACCTGCACCTTGGACAGAACAGTAACCTGCCTGTGTGTCTTCAGAAGCAGTGAAATCATCCAGCTCAGCTAGACCCTAAGCTCCGTGAAGACAGGGGCTGTGGTCTGTTTTGTTCATTGCTGTATTAACCTCATTCACATAACAAGTTAGAGAGGACTAGGCGCATGAATCTTTTCTTTTTCTCGTTCTCTAACAGGTTTCTCTCTCATACTTTTTAACTTTTATTTGAAGAAAATACATAGACTGGTTGACTGATTCTTGAGTCTCTTTTTTTTGAGGGGTCTCTTTTGACAAGACATCTTATGTGGTTATGAATATAGAGGTCTACAGATGAACCAAATCCAGTATAGACAAGGGGATCTATTACCTATGGTCACCAAGCAAAATGCAGAACCTGTCTATTTATAGCCAATATAAATATAGGTGTCACCTAGTCATCTAATTGCCCTATTTTCAGCAAAACTGCAGGGTCTATACATCTCTAATATCTGCTAAGTTTCTTTGCACTTGACTCAGAAAGTGTCAGGGGGAGACTGACTAATGTAAGTTGACTGCATGAAGAATTAAGTAGACTTTTCTATTTCCGACTCAGATCTCCTGGCAGTACCTCCAGACCTCACATCAGCCGCAGCCATGTACAGGGGACCCGTCTATGCCTTACACGATGTCTCGGACAAAATCCCCATGACCAACTCTCCAATTCTGGATCCACTGCCCAACCTGAAAATCAAAGTGTACAACACCTCAGGTGCTGTCACCCCTCAAGATGACCTCTCTGAGTTTGCGTCAAAGCTGTCCCCTCAGATGACCCAATCCTTGTTGGAGAATGAGGCCCTCAGTCTGAAGAGTCAGAGCCTGGCGAGGCAGACCGATCCATCCTGCACCGCGTTCGGCACCTTCAACTCTCTCGGGGGTCACCTTATTGTCCCCAATTCAGGTAATTCCTAAAGGCTTCCAAAGCAAAGACAGAGCTTTAAAAACATACTTTTATACCAAAAAAAAAAATTTATTTATTTGTTTTCATCAAGCCTGAAAAGTTCAATGTAGCCTCTCTAACACAAATCTATTTTCAATGCAAATCTGCGTGACTTCAGACAAAATCAGCAAAACCATCCATCTTCCTGCAACCAGTTCTGAAAACGCTTCCTCTATAAATATTACACTCACGACTTTCTGCCAAGGTGGAATTTAGAATCGTCACTGACCTCCTTTTTCACAGAGCTGCAGAAGACCTGTTAAGCCAGAGGCTCTCGCTATTGTCAGCGCACTTGAAAAGGACAAATTAATTAGAAAACATATCAGTTGGTCCAGTTCCAATTCACTATAGGAAGCAGTACTTCAGAATACTAGTTTTTAGGTGATCAGAGGACATCATAAAAGACATCGAGTCTTTATTAATTAACTCTTTATTACAGAGTCTTTAGCCTCATCATGTGTTTTTCGTAGTATGATTTCATTTTCAGTTCATGGTTTAGTTATCCACTTCTAGAGAATAAGCCTCATAAAGTTCTTAAGTGGTGAGTTTAAGTTAGTGACTGAGAGTGTTTGTTAAAGGTTCGTATTCAGCCTCGGTAGTAGTAATGGGTGTGGAACTGTGGGTCAAAAAGGGTTAATGGGTTCCTCTGTGAATGAAACCTTCGTTCTTTTGGACAAGACTGCGTATTTTGCAAACACAGCAGTAAGAAGAATGTGATTGACCTAAAGTCTGCGTGGAACATAAGGACAGAATATGTGTCAACGGCCTTACGGCCAGTGTGCAGCGCCAGCTGGGCTTCAGGTCTGAATATGAACTTGTCTTCGATTCTTCCTCTTCTTCAGCCCCCATTTCAATGTCTTGGCAATTTTTCACCCCATAGTTTAAAAATATATTTTAATAAACTGAAATATTTAATGGAATATTATTTTTTCTTTTTCTATACCTTTTACCTAATTAGGATCATGTATTACATAAAATGCTCTTTCCACCTTTTTTTCTCATTAATTCTCATGCTCTTGTATGCCCCTTAAAAAATCATGATTTTAAGTATATTTTTAATAGTTTATCAAATGAATTGGTCAAAATAGATTCTATAGTTCCTCATTGTTTAAACATTACATTATTCACAATTTTTTGTATCATATTACTGAATTCTACCTTTCCTTCCCATTTCTACACCTGTCGCCTTTTCATAGGCTAGTGATTACAAAGGCTGCTCGAGTGGAGAGGAGGAAAGGCGCATATGTTAGATACTTTCTGTGTGGTAGGCAATGGTGATTTACCTACATTATTTTATTTAATAGAGTAGCAGTGTTACCTAAAATGCGTCAGGCCTTATTCCTGTTGTTTTACATCAATTTTATCCCCATCACATACACAAAGGTACCTTTCATTGTTCCCAATGGAAAAAAAGAAAAATACTGAAGCTTGGTGTCCTCATGTGTGGTCTGCCTGCTGCCCCCTGCGCCTCCGGGAACCACTCACTGCCCCAGCGTGACACCCACTCCCCAGCTCTCGGGTTACCCACCTCCGCAGGAAGGCCAGGGCTCCGCATTCAGCCAGTCACACAGCGGCTCCTCCGTGGTTCTCCATCCTTTATGCTTGAAACTTTCCAACGTGACCGGGCAAGTTTCTTATTGCCCTACTTTCATTTGGCATATTTTATTTCCTTACTGATTCAATTATAAGCTCTTCAAAGATAAGATCCCTATCTTTTACTTCTTGGCATTCACAACAGTGCCAAACACTGTACTCACGACGGTGCTCCATAAATTTTTATTGAGTTAAAATAAGCTGCGTGGATTGAAATAAAATCACGAAGCCAAGTGTCTTCACGTTGCTGCCCACCCTGAGTGACTCTTTGAGGTGATGCTGCAGGGGTGCAGGCTAGTGGTTACAGTGTGGTCCACAGACCACCATCGTTGGCATCACCTGGCAGCTTGTTAGAGCTACAAAAATTTATAGTTTTATTAGAACTGTAAAATCAGAAACTCTGGAGGTAGAATCCAGTAATCTGTGCGTTAGCAAATCCTCCAAGTGATCCTGGTACAAGCTCAAGTTGCAAAACACTGCCATAGGCACAATCAGCTAGGACAGAGGTCAATCCACTGTGCTGCAAAATGGCACTAATTAGCAACTAAGTAAAAACCTGCTTGATGGGCTGTGACTACAACTAGCAGGTTCTGTTCACTTTCTGGAGTTATAGATGATGTAAGTTCTTCCTCACTTATTACTCTGTTACGGAATAGCACTGATGCTAACCAGATATTTCAGAAATAAATGCATTTTGATATTTTTGAAGTTAGTATTTCTCTGACTTTGAATCCTGTGGGGATTTTTTTTTTTAAATTAGAAACAAGGCATCATTACAGCTGTTTGAAATTTTAAGAGCAGTTGTTGGTCTTCCCCTCCTTTTACAAGGAAAACAACAGTGGAACCATCTGTCTATTCTTTAAATAAAACAAGAGTTTAAAAAACTACATGATCCCTTTAATTCCGTAAGAGTTCAGAGGGAGCTGTGGTCACAAGCAAGGCCAACCATGAAGGGAAGCGAGGCAGCCGTGAACATTCACTCGTCTTCAGAGAAGAAGCAGGCTTATGGCTGCGTGGCCACCAGATCTCATTCCCTTTCACTTGCTTCAGAGGCGTTTTGTGAAGTTTCCTTTTGATGCATACGTCTTATGTGACTTCTTTTCTCTTTTGCTGTTCAGGAGTAAGCTTGCTGATTCCCGCTGGGGCTGTTCCCCAAGGGAGAGTCTACGAGATGTACGTGACTGTGCACAGGAAAGAAAATATGAGGTAAATATGCTGTTTCTGGTGCACTTGACTGGATCAATGTCTGACTTGGGAAAGAATTGTACAATAGAAATAATAAACCCAAAGTGTTTTTGTCTTGAGTGCCCTGCTTCTGGCATGCCCTTGTTTCCCTAGACCTATCAAAGGTGAATTTGTACTTTGCTCTATCTTTGAGGCTATAGACACTTCTGCAGATCTTGAGATCTCTTCCCAAGTGGACTTGTGGACATCTGAGCTGAAAAAATGGCCATAAACGTGGTCTAGACCAGTGGTTCTCAACCTTCTTAATGCCGCGACCCTTTAATACAGTTCCTCATGTTGTGGTGACCCCCAACCATAAAGTTATTTTCGTTACTACTTCATAACTGTAATTTTGCTACTGTTATGTCTTAGGTGACCCCTGGAAAAGGGTTGTTCGACCCCCTAAGGGGTTGTGACCCACAGGTTGAGAACTGCTGATAAACACAGAAACGTGGCCCATAGATCATCCAGAGAGACACATGGGTAGACACAGAGACCTCAGCTTCTGTGGCCTGGCTCAAGAATCCAACCTTTTCCCATTATAGAATTAAAGGTCCCAAAGAATTAGACAGACCCTAACCCATGACCTGCCACCCGCTCTGCAGCCTAACACTTTCTCACCTGCAGATTCTTCTTTTTGTGACCCTTTCTAACTTAAGTGTTATCAACCTCCTTCTATGCTTACCACCTGTAAATTCCATGCCGGGCCCTTCCAAGTGGAGCTAGGATTGATTAAAACTAGATCGAATCCGGAGGTCCTATTTCAAATGTGTCCCAATCATAAAGATGAAGTTATTTTAAGTGAAAATAGCAAGAAAAGTTTAGAAGTCCTAAATTCAATTTTCAGTCTGGCCTCATAAATTAGATGGTATTTCTTGCTTAGTTCCTACAGAAAGTGCATGTATTAAATAGTGCTCTGGAGGCCTGACTGATTCATGCATTAAAGTACACAGATCTTAAAATAAAAGATGTTGTTGAAATAATGATCCTTAATGTAATTTTTGCTCCGAACCTACAGCATTAGTGACAAAAGTAGAATTACAACGTCCTTATAACACATCCTACCTCTCCTCTTCCCCTCTCTCATCCTCAGAAAAATATCCATTTTTGGTCTCCTTCTTCGGTTAGCCAAAAAGCTCTTTCATCATGCTCGCAGGTGGAAATGTTGATATTTATAATCTGTAGGACTCGGAACATTTTTCCCCCAGGTGGCAGATGCTCACCTACGCAAACACTGGCCTGTCTAAGAAAATAATAAAATTCCTTCAGCATTATTTATGCCTTAAATTTGAGCAACAGAAAATCACTAAAAGGCTTGTATTTACTCACATCAAATATTCATTTTTTCATTCTGAATGCAAAGTAACAGTCATGGGCCCTCGGGTCCTTCCTGTGCAGCAGCAGAAATGAAGATGAGCAAACTCCAAGATCCCTTTGCATTGTTTTTCCTCCTTTCTCTCGGCCAGAGTCAAGGTTAGCGCTAAGTACTTCCCTCTCTCAAGGCCATGCCAACACGGATGTTCTGTTTAAACAGAAATGAGTATTGGCCGCTGCTTTATGCCGAGAAGCAGTGAGGTGTTCGCGGTCTCTTATTTTCCATCTGATCAGCATTATCTTTAGCTGCAGCTCGAGCCGGAGGGGGCTGCGGCGGGGCCCCGCCGAGGCGGGAGGACGTGTGCGCTCACCTGCCTCCCTCGGTTTTCCTTCCCATCGTTCAGTTGGCATCTGACCAGGATAATTGTATGTTTTAGATGAAAAAAAGAGAAAGCACAAAATCGATAAAGCTGGACACTCCTGCTTTGAGGCTCCTCTGCCTTTGACTGTAAAAAAAAAAAAAAGGAAACAAAATGCCTCCTTGCCAGGCCCACCACCTGAGGTTAAGTGCAGCGGGAACCGTTCTGTTGAATGTGGTCCGCATCAGAGTTCTGTTTGTCAAAATGGAGCTAGAGACACCCCAAGATTCGAACAACAACAAAAAAGGCACAAGAGACCATGCAACAAGGAACAAACACACAAAGATAACTGTCTCCAATAAATGAGAAAGTTCCCCTCCTCTCTGATTTTCTGTTGTCAACCAGATGGGTTTTCTCTTGTAAACACACAATGACAAGCACATGTTTTAGGATACGGTCACAATACAAAGTGTAGCTACCATTTATTCAACATACTTAAAAAAAATTTTTTTTTTCCTTTATTAATTTTAGAGAGAGGGGGAGGGAGAGGGAGAGAGAGCTAGAAACATCGATGAGAGAGAACATCGATTGGCCGCCTCCTGCACGCCCCCCACTGGGGATCGGGCCCACAACCTGGGCATGTGCCCTGACTGAGACTCGAACCGGCGACCTCCTGGTGCATGGGTCAATGCTCAACCACTGAGTTACACTGGCTGGACTATTCAATATACTTTTGATTTCATTTATTCCTCCCTACTACACGAGTTATGACGAGATCCACTTTAAAGATGAAAAAAAACTAAGCTCAAGAAACGGAAGTCGCATTGCCAAGGTTTCACAGTTAAGGGCTGAGGGGAAGCAGAATTCACACCCGGGTTATCTCCCTGCAAAGCTCTGCCTCTGGCTGTCACGTGCGGCCTGTCCCGGGTGCCACCAGCACACACGCGGGCCTCAGCCGGCTCACTCTAGCGCAGGCTGGAACACGTGCCTTTCTATTGCTCACTACAGACGCTTCTATCCTCACATGACCTGAGAGACAGCTTCTTGCAGAGAAGACACTGTGAGGACATCAGGAGATACGAATGTTACTTCAAGGCATTGATGGGCAAATTCTGATTATTTTTCTCCATTTCCCTTCTCTCGGATTCCCTTTATTGCATCCTGGACTGGGTGTTTTTCCAGCTGGATGGGATCCAGCTGGTCATCTGCTGATGTGAACTGTCTAAAGGGAGGCGTGAACTTAATTGCATGTGGCAAAGTGAATGTGACAGGAGGGGCCTTGTCGTTGCGGAACATGCTCTCGGAGAAAGCACCGAATGGCAGATGAGCGGCTTCAGGGAGCTGCAGAGAGGAGACAAGCTGCCTCTGTCCGAAGGGAGCGGCGCGGGAAGGCTGTGCGGTGATTTCACCGCCCCTGCTCCACAGATCCCTTTCTCCCGCGTGGATGCATTTCCACGACTAAATGGCCCCCACCGGGGCCTTTCTGCCTTGCTTCCAGCAGCCGTTTCAAAAAATGGGCCTTACTCACATTAACATTTTACCCATCGTCATTGCTTATTGGGGGGAAAAATGGAAAAGGGGGGGGAAAAAAGAGCAAAATGGAAGACATGAAAGGAGCGTTAATTTTCCTTTCTCTGTATTCTGTACTTCTCAGAAGATCAAAAAGATCGATTTAGACATTCCAAGTATGAAGGTAAATAGAACTTTTTAAATGAACTTCAGGGGGCATAGAAGGTCTTTGAGCAGCCAAGTGATACAGGGATAGCAGTGCTTTTTAAAGATTCATCTGGTGACAGTGTGTGGGATGAACTGGTGTGGGAGACGAGGACACCCCGAAAGCTGGGTGCCGGGTTGGGCTGTGGCAATAATCTAGTTGTGAGGGGAGGGAGGGCGGAACCAGGCTTCAGTCTGGAGGATGGAAATTGAAAATATATTTCAGCGCTGGCTTGTTTGGCTCAGCAATTAGAGCGTCAGCCTGCAGACCAAGGAGTCCCCGGTTTGATTCTGGTCAAGGGTGTGTACCTTGGTTGTGGTTCATCCCCAGCCCCAGTTGGAGTCTTGCAGGTGGCAGCGGTCGATGTGTCTCTCTCACATCGATGTCTCTCTCTCTCTCTCTCTCTCTCTCTCTCTCTCTCCTCTCTCTCTCCCCCTCCCACATTGTCTGAAGATAAATGTAAAAATATTCTCGGGTGAGGATAAAAAATGAAAGAAATATATTTCAGAAGAAAAAGTATTGCACACGTGGTTAGAAGTGCTGAAAAACCCGAAGAACGTATACTGAGGTAGCAAACCTCAGGCAGTGTGAGAAGCGTGAGAGCAAGGGGAGGTCAGAAGCAGCAGCTAGTTCGAGCGGCGTCAGGACACATTCTGACAGTGGAACAATGTGCACCCTGGCCGGTTTGGCTCAGCAGTTAGAGTGTCAGCCACCGACCAGAGAGTCCCAGGTTCAGTTCCCACTAAGGGCACGTACCTCGGTTGCAGTTTGTCCCTGGCCCCGGTTGGGGTGGCAACCACTGGATGTGTCTCTCATAGATGTTTTTATCTCTCTGTCCCTCTCACTCTTTTGAAGATAAATGCAAAAATGTCCTCCGGTGAGGATAAGAAAAAAAAGGGACAATGTGCATGGGGATTCCCAATGGGGAGTCGCCAGTGAGGGGATCCAGGGAAAAGTGCAGAAGCTGAAAGAAGAGAACTGGGAAACAATCTTGGGGAAATAGTCCTACTTACATTTTGGGTGTGATGAGGGAAACTAAATGGAACACGAAAGGACAAGGCTGATAAGAATTTGCATTGCTCACGGTGCTTAGCGTAGAATGACCCTCAAATGAATATTTTAAATGCAAGAATGAATGTTTGTAAGGGTAACAGGGAAAAATCAAATCAAAGGTAAATAGAGTTTCAAGGTGGAGGAAGTGGATGACAGAGGTATTATTAAAATTAAAATGCAAAGAAGGAATAATAAAAAAGTATTGCATTTGTCAACTACAGGACATTGATGGTCTTTGGGTAGATATATCATTAAGGATGACATCCCAGTAGGAAGAGCTTAAGGTGTGACTTAATGGTGAGGCAATTAAAACTATTATATATATTTACTGAATATAAATAATAATGTGTTAGGATAGTGGGCCAAAAATCTTTTATGTAGGTAATTATATAGTAGATAGTTTCCATTTATTTTAATATGTTGTTTGGAACTTCGTAAACAGTAGTTGACAATATTATTTCTCCGTGAAACACAGGGTATTCTCCTTTTAAGTCTAGTCCTCAATTCTTCCTTTGAAGGAACAGCTGTTAAAGGGACTAGAG